GTGGACTTTGTCACGGTATATTTCGCAAAGCCCACAAGTTTGAGAGATAATAAGGGCAATACAAGCTTTGTGAGAATAGGTAACCATATAGAATATGGGTTGTGTAAGTGTTCTGATGTTGGGGAATATTAGCTTGCAATATGAGATGGAAGGAATTTTGCACAGGAACAAGACATTACAAATGGTCCAAAGGTCAGAAAATCCTCTGGTGAAACATCTTTTTAAATATTACTGTCAGAAAAAAAAAGTTTATCAGAAGCCTTAGACCTCCTAGCTAACCTTTGGCTATATTGCTTTAAAGATTCTGCTTTGTCTTCTGTCTCAAGAAGCAGATTTCAGTGACTCTGCTACAGTCTCAAGTCTTTTAAGTTGTAATGCTGCGCTTCGCTATTTTGAGATTCTAGGAGGTCTGACTTAAAATGTTATTCTTGAAAGCCATCCATCTAATCGGGTAACCCACTGCAATATCCAGGTAATTGCTGCTTTTCATCTCTGGTAAGTAATTTGAGGTGTGGAAGTGACTCTTTTCCAATGTACTACCACCTAAAGAATGTGGAGCCTGATGCTCTGCCGTTGTTACGAGTGCCCAGTCTTGGAGCAAGCAGATTGCTGCAGTGGTGGTGTCATCACAGACTTCCAGAGATTTTTTTCATGTGAGTGTTAGTGATTCATGTGACAGATGAGTGATGATGAACAAAGATTTTAAAATGCAGTTTTGCAGATGGACTTGAAGAATTGGTAAAAGTCAAGGAGGTGCACTTTCTCCCCATGAACCAGGAAGGGCCTCAGTACATATCACACTTGCCAGAATTGTATAGAGAGATTAGCCTCTTATATAAAAATAGTAGTGCCAAGAGCTGAATTGTGCCTGGCTATATACAAATAATGTAATATCGTGAGATAAACTTGCAGCCGTATCAAAGCTTCTTGAAATCCTAGCTTGTTCTTGCTCTGTGCCTTAGGGTAGACTTTCACAGCCAGGCTCTTGGCACAGAGAGAGTAAAACCAGTGCTTTAATCTTTAATCTTGCTAGTTCTGGAATTCATTCACATCTATCTCAAATAGTCTTGCTTTTAAGCGCCTTCTGAAAGTTGGACCTTTTTGGTCCTGATAGAACATCTAGAATTACTACTGTGTATTAAATCTTTTTCTTCACTCGTGTGACCTGATGTCCTTGCTGTTCAGTTACTCCACTGGTGGTGCGTGATAGCCTTGTGCAAATAGATGATGCTCTTTCAGGGCTGAGAAGCTCTGACCTGGCTACACCTCACGATCATCAGGCTGCAACTGCATGAATTGTTGAGCACTGACGTATTCTTAATCACAGATAGCATTACTATCTCAGAGGGAAGTTTAGCCTTTTTTAGGGCTTTGAGGAAGTTGTGCAACAAGCCCTTGTTGCCTTGCCCTGGAGTGTTTGACTTGAACTCGGGGCTGCTTCCTGATGCACAACTTTAATATATGGGAGACTATGGCCTCGACTGACGTGGCTCTAAGTTGCTATTCTGATGTAAGAGGTTTCTGGCTCTGTGAGAGGCCTTCTCTGCCATTCCTTCCTCTTCAGCTCTGTGTGAGGCTGTGTTCATATCAAGTGACTTCACAGATCCAGTACAGAAAAAACGAGCCACAAAAGCGTGTGGGCATGCTTCTGTGTTTGACAAGATTGTTCCCCAGCTCTCGTTTTGTGTGGCTACATGAACAGTTCTGCAAAGAAAATGCCCACGTGTGTGTGCTTACATGTAATATTTAGAGATTTGATATATGGTTTTAGTATGGGACTACATTTTGGCCCAGGCAGGAAAATGAAATCTACAGGATTCATCTTAGTATGTCTTACCAAGCCAGAATTACTGGGTCACGGCTGTCGCTGCCTTGCTCTGGTACTGTGTCTTTCTCGTATCAAAGCCAGAAATGCTGTGGATTTTCTGGATTGATTTTAAGGGTTTTCGGTGCAGGATGGTCAGATTCACCAGGTTCTCTACAACAAAATGTTTTATTACCAAAATCACCTTCTTTGTAATATATGAAGACCTGTCTGTTGGATGCTCGAAGGTGGTTATAATCTACTAAATGGGACTGAGAGTTTGTTTAAATGTACTTCTTGTTGTATAACTAAAGAAAATGACGATAAAAGGAAGTCTGAATTGCAATGGAGACTGTTGCAGTAGCATTATTTTTTACCCCCTTTTGACTGGAATCACTCAAAAGCGGTGGTGATGTATATTCTGTTTTGAATGATATCTAGTACAGAACCACAATAATCAAATTGTGTGGTGGTTCTGAATTGGCACCGGTCTAAGCTAGAGGAGGATTAGCCTTGTAGTGCTATTGTTTGTTCTGAGCATGTTGAATTTGTTGATGTTGTGGGAGTGTTTTTCCATGCAGAAAACAAGGAAATAATATTGATAAGAAAACACAATATGGATGCTAGGACTGTTTCACAAGATAAGATTTAGATTTCTGTATATACTTGAATAGGAGTCAGTTGTCCTTTTGGGTGCTCAACGACTCTAGCATGGTGTCTCCGAGCTGAAAGAAAACAATGAAACATAACAGTGACCTGCTGAAAAACGCCCTACGTGATGGAAAGGGAAAGGCATTGGCAGAAGTGTGTCGTCCTTTACAGTGTTAGCGTGAAGAGATCAATAGGTGCATTGTCCAAACCAGATTAACTCGTTCTGTAGATTCTAAAGCCAGTCTTAAATAATCTCTTGATTTAGAGCTTCAAATTATTGCATGGCGACTCTTATAATTAAAACCAAACCAGTTAAGCAAGCACAGGGCCAAGGAGCATATAAGCGAGTTAAACAGCTTAAACTCACACCTAGCAATCTCTTCCGTCCCTTTGTCGTATGCTGGGTTGAAGAGGTTGTGATCTTAGAGTTCTAGTAATTACTGCATTTAAACTTGAAGCTGTGTACTAGTAGCCTGCTGGCAGTTCCTCTAACGTCTTGTAATATGCTGTTACACCTGTATTTTTAATGCTTCTTACACTTTGTAACAGCTGGATGATTCGGCCATTCATGCCTACATAACTTCATTTTAATGTAGTATCTTGGTTTTTCTGACTTGTTTACAAACCTTTTGAAGGCTGTTTCCTATGTATCAAATTCATTGCATATAAAGCACTTGAGTGTTGTTGCTGCACAGTAGGTAGGACCTTCTCTTTCTCTTGCCTTTGTGTGTTGGAGTGCAAACCAGGGGCTTCAGCTGACCATTACTTAAATGTCTTCTGCACTGTAAGAAGCTGTTCATGCCCTCTGCCCATATGTACTTGTTATCAAACACAAGGAAGTGCACCATTTTGATGCATCCCATAATATACCGCAGCCATAATGGTCACTGATCTAATGTCACCCTCTGTGTCTGGACTTCTCTAGAGCATTGTGTTTTGGCCTTTGGTGGTCTTGGTCCTTCCAGCCCGTGCAGGGTCTAGGCAGTGATGCTCCTTAGGGGTTTCCAAGCATGCTCAGGGTTCAGTGCCTCTGGCTGGGACCTGTACCTGCATCTATAACCTCCGTTTCCTGATCTGTCCCGGTTTAGTGCCTGGATGCTTTTGGGAAGGCTTGCCTCGTTTTTAATCTCTCCAGAGCTGGGATGGTAAGCAGCCTTTGAAGTAGTTTGCCTTGGGATATCATTCTTGTCCCTGGCTTAGGAGAACTTTCTCAATCCAGCTGACGTTTTTTGGCTCGCGGGTTCTTGAGTTGCACGATTTGTCTTTTGATTAACTCTTCTTAGGCAGGAGCTGCATTGTGCCTGAAGCTGTCTCCACTTCCAGCAGATCTGGCAAGCTAAATGCCGATTTAGCTTGCCATTGCTGTGAGAGGAGGCCATGCTCTGCCTCTGGGC